AATATGGGCATCTGAAAGCTGAAATTTGGAATTTGTTTTATTATCGATTTCATATTTTGTAAAACTTTAACGAATTTTTGATTAAGGAACTCAATGATTTCAAAACGAGAAATGGCAACGTTGTACAGAAAAGAACATTTTTGTTTCCAGCGCGTGAGTCTGCGTATCGGAAATTCTAAAGGATATGCTCAATTTAAAATTATTTTGTGATATTGTTCTTGAACTGGATTTTATGGTTTACCTGCCAAGAACGTGACATTTCATAAATAAAAGTAACACACAAAATGTTAAAAAAACGCCCCTTTGGACGTAATTTTAAATCTGAAACCTTTCAGATTTTCTTTTTTTTAACACTTTTTTAATTTATTAAATTTTTTCTACGTATAAATGAAATACAGTTGTTTATATAAGAACAATTTCAAGATTCTTTATTTTTTACTACAGCTTTACACTTAATGACATTTCAGTTCAGATAGTTTGTAGCCTCTGAGAGAAATAATCTTCCTCACGGTTTATAGACACTTATCAGTCATTTTGGTTCTTTATTTATTAATTTTCAGCTGTGAAATTAAACTTTTCAAATATAAACGTATTCCCAGACAAAGGCGATTATTCTCTGAGCAAACATTCGCAGCTGAGCTTGCTTACTTTTTTACAAGTACAAAAAAGTTTAATCAAATCTTTATCTCCAAATCTTTGAATAAGTTTTATATCACATTTTAAATTAATTACCTCCATTTATAGATCTTTTGTTGGTGCATTATTCAAATTAGTTTTTAATGGTAGTGAAAATAATGCAAAATCAGACTTCAAAATAACTTAAGATTTTGAAAGCTTTTCAACATAGTATTTGCAACAGTACGTACCTGAAATGTGTTGGCGACCCCTGGATTAAACCATAACTACATGCATTGGGATAAATACGACTCAAGTCGGAAAAGGCGCTGAATAAAAATGTGAATAAATTCCTAGGACTATTATATTTCATGGTCAGTTATCAGAGAGCTTCATGAACAAAAATATTTCAGCTTTACTTCCTTTCCTGCTATTCTTGCGAGAGACTTATTGGTATTAGAATAGTTTTTCCTGTTGCTCAATAGATTTCAGTACTTTTACATATTTTCATTGTGAAAGTAATAAACTTTCCTCAATATTTTTCAGTATTTTTATATGATTTCAAAATAAATTATAGTAATTTTGTAAGGACTTATCGCATATATTAATCAGCGCTTTTTATCGTGGTTAAGTAAACATAGTTAAGACGTCCAGATGTGGGTCAAATCCCGACAAGGCCACAGTTGACAGCTGACAGCTGACGGGAGAGGGAGACACCATCCTTCTGCGAAGAGGTTAGGTGGTGTTGTCTCGCGTTCCCGAATATCCAGCGTTAGGAGATACACCGAAATAACATTGTAAATTATTGTAGCCGTTGTGGCTCAGGACATAATTACATAATTTGCAAAACTATAACATTATTTCAAATACTCAAATTACTTTGCAGCAGGACATACACTTACAATAAATAGTACACATTACAAATACACTTTACAGAAGTTTACAAACGAATAATGTACTACATCCAAACACAGAAGTAGTACACAGAGTTAAACTCCTAAAAAAAAAAAAAAAAAAAAAAAAACTGAGTGAGTATTAAATTGTTGCTGTAGGCACTTTTTCCTAATAAAATAATAATAATAAATAAATAAATTTAATTTTAGAAAAATGATATAACGAGGCATAGATCGGCTTCAAGCTTTTTAATCTTGCCGATAATCTAGATGATCTTTGATACCATATGACGTTGTATAACTATAAACTTGCAGAAGACTTGTGTAATGTTACTGACGCTTTTAAGGTGGTGCTCTCTGGTAAGTAGTCAGATGGTAAGATAGTGGTTTAGGATAATTTTTCCACAGACACAGAGATCGGTGTTGCTGACGCCGTGTCTTTTAAAGTATCCGGGAATGAGACTATGTCCTGTACTAAATCTTGTTAAAAATATTGTTAACTGCAGGGAAGTGATGTTGCGTTTGTCACCTACTTGTGTGATGTTGTAGTATGTTCGAAGGCCTTGTTTACATTCATCTAACTCCATTTGCCATTTGATTTGTACCTTTCGTTTCATATTGATTTTCCAGCTAAACAAAACCTGTTGATCATTGATGTGCGAATTAAAATGTGATAGATTATAACTCATTGACTATTTAGATTTGACCAACTGGGTCTCTTGACTCTCCGAAATCGATCTGGAAGAAGAATGTAAAAGAGAATGAAGAAATGGTAGCATTTCCCATGGGTACAATCGTGTAAATGGCCAGCGCATTTTCAGTTAGAAATTTGAAGATATGTATCTTAATCTCATTCAGAATAAAGATGATTTTTCTTACTTCTCTCTGTAAAATATTTGACATTTTGTCTGTAACCCAAGTGTCACAACAATTTCAAAAATACCCTATCCTTACTAGCTCAATAGCAATAGCACTAATTCTAAATAATGTTTTAAAAATCGAATTTAAGTTAATTGCTATTTAGAGGGGACGTTGTAGCTATTGAAGAGGCTCCAGAATATGTGGTGACCTACTGGTGGCGCAGTGACCAAGACTGCTGACTACTAGTAGTTTCACTTTAGTTAGAAAGCAGATGAATGGTCTGGTGCATGGTTTGTAATTTACATATAATATGAATAAAATCGAACTTCCTTAGAAAATCCATCACAAAGGCATCCCTTCTTTCAGGCAGATAGGCAGATAGACCGCGTATGGTCTGCCATATTCAAATAACCCTAACTAATGAAATTTTTTATTTCTAATCCTTGGGGTGGCGGTCAAATATGATTTCAATGAAAGACTTCAATTTCTTCAACAAAGCGGAAAAATGCTAGTAAACAGTTGTTCTTCCGGAGCGAGAACATTCTAGAACGAATTCTTACCGGTTTCCCCAATAATGTTCTTGAAAACAGGTCAAAAGCTATACATACCCTGCCTGTACGCGGAGTAGTAACGGTGGAGAGTATCTAGAATATGTTGAGTACAGTAGTAGTGTCTTGAGTTCAGAGATTAGCTTCAGAGCGACCGACCGAGTCGGAAGCTGTACTTTAATGCTTTGCCGTGAAGCTGTCTTCACCGTTATAGCCTGATAGCCTGAAGGCTGTCTTGCTGATTGTTTCAACGTGTTAATCGTAGTTTTTTGACGGCTGTAAACGTGTCTTTGGAACTTTGCTGTGTAATGCTGAGAAAAAATTGTGTTTTGAATCTTCTTCAAGTTTTGTTATCACTCACTCGAAATCCACGAACCCGTAAAACGCAACAGCACCTTAGCCTGACGTCTGTTTACTTCATTCTCTCAATGGTTCTTCTTTATATGAAAACGTTCAAAACCTGTTATCAGTAACTTTTGAGACGTTTTGGAAATCAGTTTAAATATCAAGTCTGGAGACGCCATTTTATAGAATAATACATCTAGGGAAAAATATCCTATATTTTTCATATTAAGTAGGAGCTCTTATATCGTCTGCGAAGAGAAACCTTGATCAAAAATATATTTGGTTTCCTTCTAAGGCATGTGAATTAATGAGTTATTGCGATATCTGCTGCAATTCTTTACAGTACGTACTCGATTTAGCATTTTATCCCTCACATCCAATGCGCTGACTATTCCTTTAGAAATAATACTCCAGTATAAGATAACGGTTTCTGAAATATTTCTGAGATAATAAGTAATTTCGTAGCAAAACAAGTACATCTAGTCTACATTCAAGCAATAGGAAAGATTCGATTTTATCTGGAAGTTAAGTTGCTTTACAACATTAATTTATATTTATGTATATTTAACAGTTTTAAAGTGATACATTTTTACATTACAGCATTTTCTTTCGAAGTCATTTTATTCCCGTTAAAATTAAGAGTATTACTTTATCCACGCTTCTTCATCTCCCTAAAGTACGTGTGATATTTGGATCTTCTCTTTTTTGCCATAATTCTGTTTCTTGCTTTCCTTGCTTCGGTAAATCGTTTCTTATTCACCTAATACATGACGGGAAAATCGCATGATGTTGTAGATATCAGTACTAGTAGTCACTAGTTCAAAGAACTGATGGGAAAATAGGACAGAGCAAAACATTAAGCTGAAAGTGAATTTTTATCTATAGAGATGCTCTCGGTTTTTACATTGTCAATGAAATACTTCCAGAACTTTTTATTTAAATATTTTAATCTGTAATCAACGTGTACGCTTATAAGTGCATCTTTGCAATGTTTTTCATTTTGAGGCGACACGAATTGCAAACATGAAGGCGGAAGGACTTTTTATCTTCCTTCTGCTCTAATATTAGAATGTGACATTTAAATTCCATAATATTGAGTTAATTTTAAAATCTTCTATTTTTCTTAACGAACACTAACACAGAATTTCTTAATGAATTCTAACCCTGAATTTTAAAAATAGTTCGAAAATTTCACTTAAATCCAACAAAAGTTATTCATCTATTATGAATCCATTATTATGATATGTTTATTTAGATATTGTATTTAAAGGAACAAAGTAAAATTTTAGTACAATTTTCATCGCTTCTCTGTAATTAAATAATGGTGAATTTGTATATACACTCTTAGACAAAATAAATAAATAAATAAATAAATAAACGCACCGAGAAGATATAAAGCAAATTGGACACAAATTTATATGCATACAGGTTTCGACGGAAAATGCAAAATTTCACATTTTGGCTGCCAATGAATGAACGGTTGTCGCTGCAGCGCATCTGATCCGCGCAACTGCCAGGATATTTAAGAGAAGAAATTACGATTCCAGGTCATACATTCTTCACGAATTTCATTCCGTGTACTCTGGTAGACAGTAACTATGCCTCGCATACAGGTGCGCGAACGATATGTGCAGATATCAGAATTTGAGAGAGGTCGTGTAGTTGGCTTCAAAGAAGCCGGTTGGTCTTATCAGCGAATAGCTCGACATTTGAGCAGGAGCGATGCCACTATTAAACGATGTTGGCAGGAATGGGTGAATCATGGCAGCACACAGATCAAGAAGGAAGCGGTAGGCCTAGAGAAACGACAGAACGTGAAGATCGAGCGGCACTCACACCCCCAGATGCATCATTATCATTGATTGTACATGCAACTAGTGCTTCAGTGACTGCAAGGACCATTCATAGGCAGCTCACAGAAAGGAGGCTGAGGTCATGGCGCCCCTTGCGCCTATAAATTTCTTAAAATAAATTCGCATTGACGGCCATTTGAATTATTTCCCACATTTATTTATAAAACTCCCCCTGAGGAAGAGAAAACATGTCTCTTAAGAAGGCGTTTCCATCACCTCCATATTCCGTGCCAGACCCATGGACATTCTTATAGCTCCAAAAATTAGGTTTTCCACCTAGTAAAAACGCACAATAGGAGGGAAAAAAAGAAAGAGAAATCGGCCTCTTAAGCTGTGGCGAATCATAGTAATCTGCGGTTAGAAATGCGCAGCGAGAATTTCACAATACTTTCGTTTTCTTTCTTTCGAAGTGGGATCCCCACACGTAGTCTAGATTCTTAGAAGAGGAAAAAAATATAATAGGAAGAAACATCCATCTACTTGAGAGACGAGGGTGGTCCAAGGGGTGGTATATTCCTCATCCATATGGATGGGCAAGTGTGGACTTGACTGGCATTCTTAGACTTCACTTTGAACTCCTGCAAGCATTCTCCCTAGGTCTTCCTCCTTTACTTTTCTTTTTTTGCCCTTCCTGAAGAAGAATATTTTATGAAACGAAATACAAGTAGCAATACATACCTCCACTATCTGGGAGCTCCGATTTTTATCGCATTTATTTGCGGGTCTTATTTAATATTTTATTTTTATACATGTTCTGCGGATCAAGAGTCGGTTTGTTTCCTGTGAGTTGGAAGGAGTCACAACAAATGCCTTGGGAATTTTAAGACCCCTTAGAAGGTTGTATTATTCTGTAACGCTTTTCCAACTTTCGAATAATCCTTTAACATAAATTCAGAGTTTTATTTAGATGGAAAAGATGTTAGTCAGACGTAGCCCCATTCTTTGAAATTTGTCTAGTGAAAGATATAATTTAAGGGAACTGAACGGAGTTAATAAAACACGCTTAGAAAGAATAAAATGGATTGGTTTTGGAATGCTTTTAAGGTCCTCCAAACCATTTGCCTGCCATTGTTTATAACTGAGACTATTGCTAAAAATCCTTTAGATTAATCATTTTCCAGATTTTATGTAACAGTTCCATTAGTTTATTTATTATGTGAGGAAATGATGCGTTCTTGCCAGGCGCTATTACGATGTACCTGTTAACTAACTAATATTTCGTAAATCCCGTGTTCGACACCCGGTGAAGGTATTTTTTAAAATTTCCAGTTTCCAAACTCCTTTTTTGTATTAGTAAAGAAATTGCTGTTCCTTACCGATCTGTTACTCAGCTCCTTACCGATCTAGAAATTGATCACCGGAAATGGTTCGTTCTACCCCGTTCAGTTGCATTGTATAGTATGTCATTGGTGAAGGAAGTGGAAAAAAGTATGTCATTCTTCCTGGTACGGCTTGGGCAGATTACTTTAAAAAAAAATTTTGGAGCCAAAAAGGCGTGAGGAAGTTATTCTACCCTAGTTTGAATTCAAAGCACTTATCTACTACCTCTAACTACAGTGCTGTCCACTTACACCCAGAACTATGCACATGGGGATACAATAGTTTTTTACATTATTAAGAATGACTGAAGAAAGGCACAAAACACTATTGACTGAACCCGAGTAGTAATAAAATGTAGTCTACCATATTTTAATTCAATGTGTCAGTTGCTTGGATATATATAGTACATAAAAAACTTCTTTGTAATAGAGAAAATTTCTCTAAAAAATCATTCATTACAATATTTCGCCTTTACTGTCATATGAATGCTGTTTTACTTCATTATTACTTAACATTTTTACTTCAAAAATAATTAAAGACGAATATTTTAAATATAGATTTTATAAAACTTATATTTTTTCTTGAGGAAGAAATATAATATTAAATGCAAACGAACAAAATATAAGTAAAATACTAACTGTAACTGAATTTGATGTTTAACCGTAATTAAATATTTTTGAACAGGAAACACAATTCTTATTTCGCTGATAGCTTACACGCATTAAGTACTCAGCGACTTCCCTTTTTATGCAAATCTTCGTTAATTCGAATTTGGTTTCATGTAAGAATTAATGAAGAAAAATATCCGTTCTTTTTGCTTCTGGAAATTCTGAAAGTAACTAAATAATGTGCATTATTTGAATAACATGGCCGACAAATAAAGCAGCTGCGGCAGAAATTAGAATTTTCCAAACTTAAAGAATAGTCGACGAAAAATGAAAGAACGCATCTGCATATACAACCGTTGAAACAAATCTAACGGAGTTAATGTAAATAGTTAGAAGATGGGAAAGTAACCAGAGGTCGAGGCAAGATTATTCTGTTAAAATGGTTAGTTTCATTGCAGACTTTCTGCAGCTGTATTTATTGCTGGCGTCAACAATTTTGAAAGTTAATGCTGAGGGGAAAGTAAGAGTTTTCTGATATATGTATATGTATATATATATATATATATATGTGTGTGTGTGTGTGTGTGCGCGCGCGTGTGTGATGAAAATTTAGTCCGTTGCACATAATTTGATATTAGATAAGTGCTTGACTAGTGAAGACACCAATCAAGCTCTGAGTGGATTGAAGATAGATCATTGAAATATCAATTACATGGTAGAAAATGCCGAGAACTTTTGGAGAATTATAAAATCAGTTGATAATCCGAGAATGAATTATATTTCTTGAATGAAGGGTATGGTCTGCATACCTGTTTCTTGTTCTATTTTTGCAACGGTGGATAAACGGTGGATTTTGACTTGTGGCTGTTTGCTTTATTTTTATGCAGTTCTATTGATTGATGGAACTGTGGGTAAAGATAAGGTATTCATATTTGAAAATTAGGTATGAAATATGTTCTGATAATACGCGGAGTTGACCTTAACAGTTTTCTGCACTGTCTTTAATTTGTCGTTATATCAAAACCAAACAACAATCATAGATCGTTTTGGAAAACTTTCTTTAAATGATTTGAACCATGTTCTAAGATTTTCTCATCTCTTTGATGATAATAAATGAATCTCGTTTTATTGAAGTTATTTAAATATACCCAATATTTATCTATTGTGACAACATTTTTCAATTTTTATTCGAATAATTGTTTCTCATAGAAAATTCTGCAGCGCGTTCCGCTTTTGGCGATAAATCGTGAAGAAAGATGATGTCGCGGAGACAGACTTTTTTTGGGTATTTTTAAGATTCAAATAAGCATTAATCACTTTGTTTACAGTTAACACTGAGCATTTTAATGTTTATTCATCTGTCCTTTTAACTCTCAGATTTTCTTTCAACATTAAAGTTCGTACTTTGCAACTTTCGAAACATTCCGTGTTTTCCTTGGTTATGTATTTTTAACAATAATTCTCCTTGAAACCAAACTCTGTGTTTCCTTTCTTATTGACAATATTATCTGTCGTTCCTTTAGCTATCGAAAACTCATGGCTTTAAAAGCAATTTTTAATAACTAAATACGAATAATTTTCTTCGAAAAAGAACCCCAAAATAGCTCTCCGTCCATTGCATCTTTAAAAGTGCCATTTTTCACGAAAACAAATTTGTCAAGTAGCAGACGATAATTTACATTTTGGAAAATATAGTTGCAGTTAAAAATTTTTCCAAGCAGGCGATTTTTTTATAGCAAAGCAAAGTCATCAGAAAGATGTGCGAGCAGTCTAGGTATAGATACCTATTTATTGCAGCTCTTAATGATTCGAAAATAATGATTTCCTTATATTTACGCAATATAAATATCATTCCTATAAATTCTTTATCAATTATAGGCGAAAAGAAGATTTTTCTTACTCGTATACAGTTATATATAATTTATACAGTTATATATAATTTGAAGGAGAGAAAGAAACGTGTCTTACCTGTATACAGATATTTATTATTCGGAGGAGAAATTTTTGTTTTATGTTTATCTTATCGTGTAAGACTAAATCTGGAGAACGTCCACATTCTCCGGTGAATGGCAACATTCACATAGGCGGTTGGTGTATGTGCGAAATATTTGCTAAATATGATTATTTGTCACTAACCCGGCAAATGCAGAAACTCGCCTTGCATTAATGGTGAATATTGAAAAAAATATTTTTGTTACGTGTTTAGATAATACTTTATTATTAAAACAAAATATAGAGCAAAACAGGAAAAAGCTTTAATAATAACACATGTAAATAAACTATTGAACTTAATAGTATATTCTGAATGAGAAACGAAAATAACATCAATAATAAACTAACTTAATTATGTTAATTAATTATTAACATTGCACTATATTATTTATAGCAACAACTTTATCTTTATGCAGTTGAACTGGTCAAGAGTCCCTTGCTTTTATAACGCTTCTGCGTCTTGTCTTCTCGAATTCTCGTTTCGACCTTCACCAGAGCATTTCTGTGCTTGTCGACATGCACCTGTGATGGTACGAATGCATAAGAATATAACCAAATATTCGGTCTTCCACCGACGTATTTGGTATGTATTGGCATTCACTGGAGAATGTCGAAATTCTCTAATTTCCGTCATTCACGGTACTATATATGCAGTCTTTCGTTATGTGGTATACTACACTTTGCAATTAGTAAATGAAAATAGGAATTAACTTATGTATGCTGTATGCACAGTCCTTTCAGAATATATTTAGTTCTTTGGTGTAACGTTATCATTTGGAATAAAGTTCATTATAATTCAGAAGCGAATATAAAGATTCACTTGCGCATTTACACTCCTATATTATTCGGAATACAGTTTTTTAAAGTTTGGAGGCAAAACTTTATGATTTAAAACATATTACTTTGTAATTTAGACGAGAAGGTAAAATGTATCTTATATAGTCCTTAATTATTCTGAGTGCAATGCTTTTTATTTCGTAAGCAAGAATTTATGATACGAATAGTATTCTTTAGAATTCAGAGGCGAAGATAAGAATTGTCTTATGAGCCTTTATTATTCAAATTTCTTTTATTATATATTACAACTTAATATTGCAATCAAATTATTACCT